CTTGTGCTCTGCTCGCAGGCTCCAGCTCTCTTCCCCCGACCTGGATCCTGCTCACTGTTTAAGTAGGAGAGAATCAGTGCAGATTATTTACACCTGGTTACTCCTCATCTACCAGCACCGTCCCCTGAACCACTCCCCCGCTCTCCCCCCTGCAGCTGAGCTAACCACGCCCCTCCACCACAAGAACATTTCTAAAAGCAAAAGTCCGGAAGACTATAATGTGACTACTTAGTGATTAAAGAGGAATAGAATTGTATATTCATTTGCATTTAATCAATACACGACTAACAAATCAAATGAATTCAGTACGATTATAAAACTCTTTTGAAAATATTTATTGTCACGTAACAAAGAACTGAACATATATGTGGGACTGCAAATATAAATAATGTTCTTTCAATTAACTAAATAAAAGTAGGACTTTATTTAAAAAAAATAAAATGTAAAAATTTCTGCATGTTCAAATAAAGTGCTTCAATTCAGAAAAAATGAAATAACGGGAAGCTAAGATTGAATTTCCACTTTTTTGTCTCACATTTGGACTCGACAGTCTCAGCAAATTATAAATAATACATCTAAACACATTTAAACAATTTTAACAGTTTAATAGAATATATATATAACCCTAAGGAACTCCAGATGCGGCCATCAAGGTAGGATGAGAGAAGGAAGAGAGACAGAGCCTGAGACACCGAGCTAAGGATCTCGTGCTTTACTGTTTCAAAAGCAGCAGAAAGGTCCAGAAGGATCAGGACAGAGGAGAGAGAGGTGGCTCTATTAGTGTTATGTTCCTTGGTAGGGTCCGGCAACATAACAGAAACAAATGCGATGGAAAATAAAGAACGTAGCAGCCAATAGTAAAGAATTTATTGTTCTTGAACATGGTGGCAGCCAAACCAGCCACATGCTTCTTTCCCTCCCCCGATCCCCCCCTGGATGATGTGTTTTAAAGGGACCGGCTCTGATGGTGCACCCAATCCAGATGGATCCTCAATTAAGTTGTCTGCTGGGCTGCCTGCAAAACACGGAAAGAAAGATACAGGCCACCAACAATAGTCATGCGCTGGCATCAACCTCCAGTTTAAACGGCAGGTCAAAATTTGGAGCAGCGAGCACCGCACTGCAGAGCAACGCCTTGGCGTTTTGAAATGCAGTCTCACAATCAACAGACCATGTTGATTACATACCCCCTGCGCCACCACGACCCACACGCACACTTGGTCAAGTTCAAGGTCATTGAGGCATCATAGAGCTGATGGAAAACAATGTGGATGAGCTCGAGGTGACTAGTCCAAGAGGATGATTTAGGACTATGTTGTCTAGATTCACCTCACAGTTCTGCAGGCCAACTAAAACCTTACTCATCAGGCTGGAAACTGGCTGGAGCGTTGCAAAGTCCAAAAGCCATGACTGAGTACTGCATGAAGCAGTCAGGGGTGACAAATGCAGAAATTTCAGCAGCACGGTGGGTCAAGGGGACTTGCCAATATCCCTTTAGCAAGTCAAGCTTGGTGCCAAAACGGGCTGAGCCCACTCGGTCCACGCAGTCCTCCATGCGTGTGGAAACGAGTCAGGCTTGGTCACAGCACTGACCTTACGGTAATCAGTACAGAAACGAAATGTTCCATCAGGCTTTGGAACTAAGATACAAGGGGAGCTCCAGGCACTGGAACTCGGTTCAGCTAACCCGTGATCCACCAAGTACTGCACGTCCGAACTCATAGCAGCTCTTTTTGACGGATTAAGCCGATAAGCATGCTGCTTGATGGACTGATGGTCACCCACATCAATGTTGTGAGTAAGGACATTAGTCTGCGATGGAACATCTGAAAACAACTCAGGAAAGAACTCTCTCAACCCCTGGACATCCTTAGCGCGAGAATCCGACAAGTGGGCAAGAATATTAGGCAAATCCTTAAACATTTCAGAGTTCTGAAGACGAGGACAAGAAACAGAGACGTCACGAAAACTCAGGCCGTCCTCCTCTGTAGAACAGGAGGAGACCATAGCATAGTTGCAGAAACCGCAAGCAGAGGACACTCAGTCTCCCGGGAGACATACGGCTTCAACATATTAATGTGACACACGCGAGTCTCACGACGTCTGTCTGGCGTCCCAATAGCATAGTCAGTGTCACTAACTGGGACTCTACCTCATAAGGCCCCGAAAACTTAGCCTGGAGGGCGGACCCAAGAACAGGGAACAACTGAAACAACTGATAGGAGATGGGTTTGCGAAGAGTATGTCAGCTATTTTTTTTGGTCAAATAGTTGACAAAGTCTACCGGAAGAAGGGAGAAGGGAGGAGGAGGACTGGGGGGGTTTAAGGAGGTTGGAGAAGATAAAAAAAGTTTTTTGGGGGGGTAAAAAATGAAGACTAAATTCTTTATTGGTAGAAAGAGCTTCTGGCAGCAGAGATAGAAGAAGAAAAAGAGGTGAGGAGAGATTGAATCACAGGCAGGTCGTCAGGTTGGGAGAGCTGATAGAACAGAGGAGGCGAAAGAGGATTTAGAGAGGGAGTGAATGTTGCGAAGAACCGTTACAGAGTTAATTGATGGCCTGGGGTCATTAGAGAGAGAGGTCATTAGAGTTAGAGAGAGCGGAAGAGTAGGAGATGAATAAGTGGTCAGAGACGTGAAGTGGAGTTAAAGTGAGGTTATAGGTAAAGCAGTGTCTGGTGAATATGTAGTCAAGGTGTTTTATTAGTAGGAGGAGAGGGATTGAGTGACAGTGCAAAAGCTGGCGACACGCTCAACCTCCGTCCCGTTGATATGGATGGGGATGTGTGTGCCAGTTTTCTTCCGGAAGTCCACAATTAGCTCTTTGGTCTTCTTGGTGTTGAGGGCCAGGTTGTTGTCGGCGCACCATACCGCTAGGTGCTGGACCTCCTCTCTGTAGGCCGACTCATCGTTGTCACTGACGAGGCCAATCACCGTTGTGTCGTCTGCAAACTTGACAATGGTATTAGAACCGTGTACAGGTGTGCAGTCATAGGTGAAGAGGGAGTAGAGGAGAGGACTTAGCACACAGCCCTGTGGCACGCCGGTGTTCAGGATGAGGGATGAGGAGGTGTGGTTCTCTACCCTAACAGACTGGGGTCTGTTGGATAGGAAGTCCAGTATCCAGTTACAGAGGGAAGTGTTGATACCCAGGTGACTGAGTTTCGTGATTAGTTTTGGATTAGTTTGCACTCAGTGGCACTCAGTGGCACAACTCGCGGCAAGTGAGCGACAAACAAAGGAAGGAGAGTGGCAAATAAGGGGCGGGCGTCCCAACCCCACCCCGAGGGGGCGGACCCAGCCTTTCCCCCTCGGGGGTTTTCCCCGGCCAGGTGGCTTCCCCGGGGGGGTTCGGGGGGGGGGGGGGGGCTTTGGAAACTCAGTGGCCACTCTGGTAATTCAACGGCCACAGTGGCACATCAGTGGCCACTCTGGCAATTCATTGGCAATTCAGTGGCAACAGTTGCACATCAGTGGCAACAGTGGCACATCAGTGGCCACTCTGGCAATTCATTGGCAACCTGTTAGGCGTCCTCAAAGCGCCACTCGATCCGAGAGGCTGCCGAGCTGTTTCTTGTTTTTTATTGACTTGAGTGGGGTTTTGTTTTTCAATTTATTGGGTTTGCTGAGCATGTTGAGCATGTTGTTTTGTTATTCTAGCACTTATTTTTCCTATTGCCTGAGGATATGCACGCTGCCACAATAATACCTCTAGATGTCAGAGTTTATTCAAAAAATACTCTTTTTAAGGTTATTTTTTTCTTTTATGTTTTCACTGAAAAGTGCTATTGGAACAGAAATTCAGTTACACATGAAAGCATAAATATTTGCCTAATCAATAGAGCTGAAGTTGTCATAAGTGGGACCATTAGAAGAATTAAATGAGACGCAGAGACTGTCAGAAAGAACAACAAGAAATAATATAAATATGTAAAAACAACATGAAAATAAATTAAAAAAATTAACTAGTCCCACTCTTTGAACCAGGCATTGACTTTGTAGCCCTTGTCAATAAACTCTCCCACAAACATTTCGTAGTCACTTCTGTACTGAAATTCAAGGACAAAGACATTTATCGGTGCGTCTGCGTCGTCCTCATCTTCATCCATGGAGTTTTTGAGGTCTTGCAATGCTCAGAGCTGGTTGCCTCTGTCCATGTTCGTAATTTCAGGGGGCATAGCTATATATAATATATAAAGACTAGATGTCTTGTCCGCGTTGCCGGCCAACACAGTTGAAAGTCCGCACATGGCGGCCATCTTGCTCACCCATAACATTGTGTTGGTAGTGATACATGTACTTTTTAAATAACCACAATTTCCAACTGATTTTTAAACCGTTTGGTTTGTTATAAACGTCAGAGATATAGTTCTGACACTGCATACATACTATGAATAATTCTGTTATGTTCTAAAATATAGAATAATGTTTTAAAATAGGTTAAGAGGTTAAGATTTCCCTTTACAAATATACATATACAACATATATATGTTAAAATCCCCACCCTGTACGGAGATGTATTTATGACACTGCATACTTATTTATTAATTATAATTAGAACCATGGGGTTTTCCTATGAAAATTATATTAAACAAAACATTATTCACGTATGCATTGTCATAACTACATCTCTGACGTATATAACAAACCAAACCGTTTAAAAATCGGTTGACAAAGTTATTATTTTTTAAAGTACATGTACTACTAACAACACAATGTTATGGGTGAGCGAGCTGACCGTACCAAGATGGCTACTGTGTGCGGACGTCTAGTCTTTATGTATATATCTATGTCTGGAGCTACCTCCGCCATTCTTTCAAATCGACACTCGCCAAGAGACCCACCCTCCTCTGACTCTGATAGGCTTGTTTCCGGTTCACGGACAATCAAACCAACGATGGCAGCGAGTATTACCCAATCAGGAGCAGAATAAAACGAGACTTCACAGAATTCAGGTGGGATTATTTGCATAGGATGCTGCATTGACTACATCTCGGAAATACGGTAAAATACGTATTGGTTCAAAACGGGACGCGCTATTTTCTCAAATACCGGACGATTCCGTATTTTAAGGGACGGGTGGCAACCCTTTTAGTTTAGACTTGATCTACTTCGTGAAAGTGTTGTGACGTAGCTCCAATAGTATGTGAATCTGTTATGAACTGCTCAAGATCAGAGTATTTGTTATCGTATTTACTGAGTTGAGGAGGTCAGTGAAGCACTCACGGTTCATCCTGTCAATCATCCTGGCTCCCGCTGTGGTTGGCAGAGAGCGGGAGGTGGGACGGTACGATGTGATCGTGATAGATGTGTGCGTCACACTTTGTGAGACATGCGAGTGATCGTTTAGCAGCATTATTGTCAGCAGACTGTCAGCAAATAAAAGTGTAAAAGCAAGTTGGCGTCTCGTCGCTTTCCGCATTGAGAGTCGTTACAGTAGATTGAAAGTATATTTTCATTGCGCAGTTTGTTGAAGCAGTGGAGAAATCCCTCTTTTCTGCTCCTCTCCAGCTCCTCTCCAGCGCGATACTTTTTCAGCTAAGTTAAAGCTATATTTACATTTTTATATATATATATATATATATTTTTTTTTTTTGCTGATTGCCAATTTGTCGCTCTGAAGGATACAGGTAAGCCAGCATCGTTTGCAGTGAAAGCAGATGAATACGTCCAAGCAGAATTAAACTTTTTGGATTTTTCCACTGATGACTGCAGAGGAATGCAAATCATAGTCCGCCACCTGCTGGGAAGGTTGTTACAGACAGCGGACACATTGATGTTTCCTACACCGGATATGTTAAAACATTTAAATCATATGAGTTAAGGATATTACTGTCGGTTAATTTGCTTATGTATTTTTTAACGAAATGAATGTAATCGATGCCTACTACTTATTTTTTAAATTTTTAATCGGCTAATCGATGGGCCCAGCTTGAGGGCTGCCAGGTCTTCATGTCTGATCGTTCCTTCACTTAATCAAAAACACGTGATTAAGGGACCTTATAACCTTCAGCAAAATACTGTTGTTTGTTTTTCCATACTTTAACCGAGAGAACAAAACTCTTGCAGAGCATTAGAATGTATATTAAATGTCTGTATACAAAAATCTGCTCCATTTTTAAAAATTTACTTTACAAATAGACTGGTTGGATACTGAGGATTCTTTGAAAATAAGGACAATTACTTCATTTTAAATCATCGGAATGGAAAATTGTATTATTTACTCGTAGTTGTTATATTTAAAAATAAGTCCTATGTTACATTGTACTCCCCATCATGTCCAAATAAAATGAAAGAAAAAGAAAATACGCCAGTGACAATTTTATGTTTCCACAGCTACATTTCATGACTATTTTATATATATTATAAATATTACAAAGTGACTGCTAATGGTTAACATTGATGCAGCCTGATCATTAGCCATGAATACTGTACTTTAGTACAAGAGCCACGTCCTATAAATGACTTTATGTGTCACGTCACCTGTTAGTTGTGTGCACCTGTGTTAACTAATATGAGGATCTGATTATAGATTAAACTGTTTAAAGTCAGTCTAATGTAAACACATTAATGACTCAATGATTAGGATAATATCTGATTTATAGACTTTGATTAAGTAAGTAGCAAGCACGTTATATGAATGAATAATTTCTACTTATCAATACAGTGTTTACAGCAGGTTGTGGTGTGTTTTTTTTACTGTAGTACAATAGCTGCACACTTCCTTCATCAGTGTGAGAATGAGAGAACAGACAGACGAATATGGTCAAGTTGTTTATTACATAGTGCTATGGTCAGAAGGTGAACGGAAGAGGCTTTTCCTGAGAAGACACTTTACACTTCGATACACTTATTACCAATGTCGCGCTCTTCGTCATGACAGGTAAATGGTGCTCGGGGCGAGAGATCTGGAACAGCAGGGACGACGGCTCTGCACCCTTCACCCTTAAGAAGAGCTGTGCTCCAGGTACGAAGATGCACACACTCCACATGTATCTCCAGAAGAAGCAGCCTCCTCCCTCTGGCTCCTCCATACACACAGAAGATGCACTGCATCATGTTTGCACTTCAGATGTTCCTTTAATGACATTTTCATTGTTGTATGTTTACATCACAGTGAAGGATGAAGATGAGGAGCTGTGGAGGCCCATGTCGACCATCTTTCCTTCAAAGTATCAAGTGCAGAGCTGTGAGTAAACATTTAATCTCTTTTAATTGTTTGTTTCTACCACATTAAGATACTCAATCACTTACAATCCAGCTGATTTGCTGTAAACTGTGTAATCTATACCGGCAAGAATATTCACAAACAGTGTTCAGCTGTTGTGAAGTCTTTAAAGTGGTTTCCTTTTCGTCAATTAGAAATCAGTGCATTCTTTTCTGGCTAAATGTAGGAGGCATTCGAGTGTAAAGCTGCAGTAAAGTGTAAATGTAAAGTTACCTTCTTGCTTCATCCTACTATCAGTAAAAATAATTGTAAATCATTAAAGAGCACAGTTATTGAATAATACCTGCGAGAAGGAGACAGAACTGAGACACAAACAAGTGATTGCGTTGATGCTACGCTAATGTCTTCTTCCCTGGTACTGAAAAAGGTAGCTGGAAACACCGAGCGATGGTAATCACCCTCAGATATATACGTCATCATGCTCTTCACCTTAGGACACACATTTACCCCACAAGTTCACTCTAGATTGTCTGGACATTAACATACAAACATCTTGACTATCAGCAGACCCTGAACACAACGTGTCGGTGTGAGAGAGACACGTTAGACTCTGTTGTCTAAGTAAAGTAAAAAGGGTTTTCCAACAACAACAATTCAGCATTAACTAGAAGTAACTCTTAATTTATACAGTAGGTTACGAGCATTTATCTTAAATTGTATTCACCCATACAAGTGTAGGATTCTGTAGGTCAGAATAACTTATTGTACTCTGTCTTCATAGAAACCACGTTGTCCGTCTCCACCCCTGCTGTCCTCACCAACTGGACCTTTGTAGACAAGAAGGAGACGGTTCGTCTTGGACCGCAGCTTTCCACTTCCTGCTCTATAAACGCCGTGAGCAGAAGGACACGCTAAAGCTTGTGAACAGGAACTACGCTACTCTGTATTCAACATTTGATGTCCCTGTTGTAATAAATACATCTAATTCACTAATGTCTACATGTCATGAATGAGTTATGAAGCCATTACACTGATTTCAACTTTAGCTTCATCACATCCTATCCCAGTGAGTACATGATAATGATTGCACCGTCTATGTATCAAATGCTGATTATAATGAAACACTGTCTTCATGTTGATAAATAGTTAAAATGATTTGTCATGATTATGATGCAACAATAACTATATTTAGAAGTTTCCTGATTACAACCAGGTGTGTGTTTTGACTAGAGAGGGCAACCTATTTTTCACCTTCAACAATGAAGGAATTGTCGTAGTGATCAGTTAAACAAAAAATAGTATTTCATCTTTTGTCTCACTAAAATAGTGATAACCAGTAGACAGCAAAGTGGGGTACACATTTTACTTTTAAACAATTTATTTGTAAATAGCTCTTTATCATGCATGTGTTTCTTTGCCCCAGGGCCCAGGAGAACAATTCAGTGCAAGGGGCTGAATAAAGCACAATGACATTAGCTTTTCAGCGTCTTGGATAAGGTGTTTCAGCATTTTGGACAGTGGCAACCTTGTGGTTCCCGGCGCACCCTCTGTACTCAATGCGCTACCGTCGCCCCATAAGTTCGAGAAGGTCATACTTCAGATTTGTTGAATCATTGTGCCGGCTATATTTCCGTTGTTGAGTTGTAGGAATATCGTCTTTAGTTTGATTTATGAAAACCTTAAACTTAAACATTATGTAACAGTAGTCTATTGAGATTTTTGTTGTGGTATGGAAGTCATGGAAAAAGAAGAAACTAATGCGTCATTTATCAACAAAACAAATCAAAGGAATGTTGATCACCGGGAAGTACAACGCAAAAAGAACCACAGGGATAGTCTTTGTTACAAAAGACATCATTAAGTAGGCATCCCTGCATCATAGAATACAGGGACAGAAGATCACTGCGTATTCATTATTTGCGCCGTAGCTTAAGCTGACGTTGAAAGAAACAAGTAAAACTGAAAAGAAACATATTTAAATGAGTTAAAACACATAAACCAGAGAAACCTTTAGTTTCAGTTAACATGTGCTGTTGTTACCTCCACTAACAGTGTAGAAAGGATATAGAATATTTCTTTTTACAAATCCATACAAATCCATGGCTGTGTCAAAGTGCTGAGGTACAAATGCATTTGTATGTTTTACAACAACGCAGTTTTAACACGAAACATTTCTCTTGTGCGTGTTTAATAGTGTCACGGTGTGGTTCTCTTCCTGTCTTATTTTGTAGTTTTCTGCCACTCGTGTCCCCGGGTAACTTCACTTCCTGCCTTGTCCCGTCATCCCCTGTGATCGTCTAATAGCTTCCACCTGTGTCCAATCACCTGCACCTCCCTTGTGTATTTAAGCCGTGTGTCTCTTGTGTCACTTGTCGCGTCATTGTCGTAGATGTTGGTAGTTTCCTGCCTGCTGTTTCCCCCCCCCCCTGGTTCCTGTGTGTTTTTGCCGTTTGCTTTTGCCTTGTGACTATTAAAGTCTTTTGTTTTCTGAGAAGTCTGCGTTTGAGTCCTGCCTTCCCATGCACACCCCTTGACAAATAGTGATGTTAGTGATAAGTCAAACATTTCAATCGGCACCTTTGAACTGTAGAAAACACTAGAAAATAGTTTATTCAATCACAATCAATGGGATAGTTTAAATTATGTCAAAAGCTTAATGGTAAAAGTTTAAACGGCCTGGTTGATTTAATTGGTTTTATCCAAACAAAATAAGAGAAGTAATAAACACCTTTACTTTAGCCAGAAAAATCATGGAACTGGTTTTGAATTAAATTTAATGGTATCAAAATACATTTTGTGTGTTACATTTAACGTGGAAAAGACTAGAGAAAGCCTAAGCAGCTGCTGTTACTTGTTATTGTTAAACAAGTATATTGCAATGGTTAAAATACAAATCTAATCTTTTCTGAATTTAGGTCAGAAGAAAATTACTAGGTGATATTCACAATCCTTAAATATATCGATTTCTTACTGGATTATATTGATCCAATAACCTGTCACTTTATTGGAAGAGTATAAAATGAGCATTATTGTTTTGTATTTTTATTGTATTGTCTCATGTATTTATTCCTCCAATCGATCACTATTTCAACACCAACTGTAATGTTCGTGGAACTTCCTTTTCCGCTCAAGTAGGTGGAATGCACCAGAAACTTGTTTAACCATGTGCCATTGTGTACGTGTATCATCAAATCTAAAAAATGTGCTGATAAGTGACGTCTTTAGCCTTTAAACTGTGTCCATATAAAAGACCGCAATAGATTTTTGTCACATCAGATGTAAGGTTTGCAACATGGTGCAAAGTGGACGAAATAGACACTGAAATAGTTTTAAACATCAAGAGCAGTGAGGGTGGGGAATTCAAAACGTTTCATCTTTCTCTTCACCTGTAAGTATATCTTTAAGTCAATAGAAAAATTTCTGTATTTGTATAGTCTCTGCGTGTGTTTGAAAGAGAGAGCAAGAAAACGAGTTTACATGTTGTGGTGGAAATTCTTGGATTAAGCCCTTGTGAGAAATCAATCAAGTATTTTAAACTTGTTTGTGATTAAGTATTTATTACTAACTAGAATATAGAAAAATATATAAGAATACAGAAATTATCAACACAAGCCGTAAGTACAAGCAGAAGTTTAAATGACTAAATTCAGCTGAAAAGGGACAGATTCTTCCTTCTCCCGATTCTTCCTTCTCCCTCAGAGAAGCAGGACGATCCGGAGAGAATTGTTGAAATTTGAAAAACACTTTGTTATAACAGGCATATATTTATATTGCAAAGATGTTTGGGGCTTGGCCCGGGATGTCGAGCCGAGATGAGGCATATCCCCCCCTTTGGGAGTCCAGACACTGATGGTAGTGGTAGACGATAAATTGCTCCAATGATATGCCAGGTTCTGCTGTAGATTGGAGGTGTCAGGGGTGGTGGCGGGTCACCTTTGGTACTGAAATGACAACTGACAGCAAAAGAGAGAACAGTTTTTAACATTCGCCTGCACCGACGCCATTGATTTACGGTGGCTGGTACTACCCGACCCTGCCCCTAATCAGCTGGCCGTGCTCCCCAGGGGAGAGAGGGCCAACAGGGAACGGCACAGCCTGTCCAGTCTTAATTTGACTCAAATCTGAATTTACGCCTAAGCTTGTCCTTGAATACGGCCCATCCATTTTATTCTTTTCTTTTATTTCTTTTATGTCTATTATTTTTTTGTATTAAACGTGTGTTGCATTCCATACCTTGTCTCAAACTTTCTGTAGTTCAAGAAAGGTTTGTTTTGAGGTTAACAAATACTGTTTTTGTCAACAAAATGTTTTCCTTTGAGAAAAAGAGGCAAAGAGAAGGCAAAGCTCTCGATCTACCGGTCAATCTTCATTCCTACCCTCACCTATGGTCATGAAGGATGGGTCATGACCGAAAGAACTAGGTCACGGGTGCAAGCGGCCGAAATGGGTTTCCTCAGGAGAGTGGCTGGGGTCTCCCTTAGGGATAGGGTGAGAAGCTCAGCCATTCGAGAGGAGCTCGGAGTAGAGCCACTGCTCCTTTGCGTCGAAAGGAGCCAGTTGAGGTGGTTTGGGCATCTGGTGAGGATGCCCCCTGGGCGCCTCCCTAGGGAGGTGTTCCAGGCACAGCCAGCTGGGAAGAGGCCCCGGGGAAGACCCAGGACTAGGTGGAGAGATTATATCTCCTGGGAACGCTTTGGGATCCCCCAGTCAGAGCTGGTAGATGTGGCCCGGGAAAGGGAAGTTTGGGGTCCCCTGCTGGAGCTGTTGCCCCCGCGACCCGACCCCGGATAAGCGGTTGAAAATGGATGGATGTTTTCCTTTGAATGTTGTACCTGAAAGTTAAACATACTGCTATAATGAATATTGACATTTTCATTTTCTTAATACTGTAGGAAAATTGAATAAGAAATAGTTCTACTAAATTGACTGGTTCACAAGCTGTCATGATGGGAGTTATGTGACTGTACCCCTACTTTGATCGATTTATAGGGATTCAAAAGAAAAAGGATGGCTGTGGCACAGATAATATCAATCTTCCTGATTATAATGGGTAAGCTAAGCATCACCTATAAATCACAATGACTGAGTAAAATGTAAGCTTTGTGTTGCTAATAATTGTTTATTTAATACATTAATTTAATAATTATGTTAAAAGCAACTGATGCACCTACAACTAAAGCAGCTGCAAACTTCCTCAACCAGTGACTGCTGCAACCTACAACTACAGAAGCTTCAACTGCCACAACAGCGAATGATGCAAGTACAACAGTGGAAACTGCAACTTCCGCAACAGTGACTGATCCACCTACAACTACTTTAGCTTCAACTGACGCAACAGTGACTGCTGCACCTACAACTACAGCAGCTTCAACCGACGCAACAGTGACTGCTGCAAGTACAACAGCGGATCGGGCAAGTTCCGCAACAGTGGCTGATGCACCTTCAACTGCAGCAGCTTCAACTGCCACAACAGCGACTGATGCAACTACTACTACAGCAGCAACGACTGCTGTTCCGACAACAGTAGCATCTTCAACTGAGGCAACAGCGACTGCTGCAAGTACAACAGTGGATCCTGCAACAGTGACTGATGCACCTACAACCACAAGAGCGTCAACTGACACAACAACGACTGCTGCAAGTACAACAGCGGATCCGGCAACTTCTGCAACAGTGACTGATGAACCTACAACTGCAGCAGCTTCAACTGCCACACCAGCGACTGATGCCCCTACAACTACAGCAGCAACGACTGCTGTCCCGACAACAGCAGCATCTTCAACTGACGCCACAGCAACTGCTGCAAGTACAACAGCGGATCCTGCAACGTCTGCAACAGTGACAGATGACGTTTCAACTGCAGTAGCAACGACTGCTGCACCTACAACTGCAGCAGCTTCAACTGCCACAACAGCGACTGATGCAAGTACAACAGTGGAAACTGCAACTTCCGCAACAGTGACTGATCCACCTACAACTACTTTAGCTTCAACTGACGCAACAGTGACTGCTGCAAGTACAACAGCGGATCCGGCAAGTTCCGCAACAGTGGCTGATGCACCTACAACTGCAGCAGCTTCAACTGCCACAACAGCGACTGATGCAACTACTGCTACAGCAGCAACGACTGCTGTTCCGACAACAGTAGCATCTTCAACTGAGGCAACAGCGACTGCTGCAAGTACAACAGTGGATCCTGCAACAGTGACTGATGCACCTACAACCACAAGAGCGTCAACTGACACAACAACGACTGCTGCAAGTACAACAGCGGATCCGGCAACTTCTGCAACAGTGACTGATGCACCTACAACTGCAGCAGCTTCAACTGCCACACCAGCGACTGATGCAACTACTGCTACAGCAGCAACGACTGCTGTTCCGACAACAGTAGCATCTTCAACTGAGGCAACAGCGACTGCTGCAAGTACAACAGCGGATCCTGCAACGTCTGCAACAGTGACAGATGACCTTACAACTGCATTAGCAACGACTGCTGCAACTACAACTGCAGCAGCTTCAACTGCCACAACAGCGAATGATGCAAGTACAACAGCGGATCTTGCAACTTCCGCAACAG